TTTTCCAAGTTGGCCATTGCAGCTTTAAGTTATTGTTGTGTTGCTACAATTAACTGGAATTAATGGTCAGCTTGAATCAAATCAACTTTAAATGTGAAATTATTGAACTTTTACAAACAATGTTGACTTTGGTGATATTTTTAGTACAAGACAAAAATGTCAAGTTTTCATTCTACCAATAGCCTGTGTTGATGACACTACCACAGAAGGTTTAAGCTCAACATCTGACAGTTTTACTTTTGCTAATGTTGAAAAGCTTTTATGGTTTTAATTATTTCAGAGTTAATAATTTGTTTCTGGGGATTTCATTAAAATCTTTCCAGGGGTTCATGAGATGATTTACTAACACAGAATACAATTGAAAACACACACACACACACACACAATCATAGGCGTAAATTTTATTGCCTTTTGCCTTTCGGCAGCAGCCAATAAAACTCTCCTTTCTGAGCAGCAGAGATATAAAGCAGGTGATCTGATTGTGAGAAACTCAGCATGTGCAGTGTGAACGACAGCCCCTTTCCCCATGCAGGTCCATATGCCCCCAAGCTCCAACAACACCCCCACCCCCCACCCCCCATTCTCTACCTTTAAACTCACTCACAGGCACGCTTCTCTTTATCCAAGCACCCCCAAGCACACACACCCCCACACACACACATACTTCTGGCTCACACTGGTGATAACTGACAGGAGCTGCATTGATGAACACAATGCTCAGGCCAGGCAGCTCAGCTGTCTTCACTCCCCACTTGACACCAGTTTGACCTCATGTGACTTGTGCTCCCTGCAGGCTGCTCTGCCTGGAGCCTAATATAGTCTGTCCTTCTATCTCACACACACACACACACACACACACACACACACACACACACACACACGTATGCACGCATGCACACACACACACACACACGCACACACACGCACGCACACACACACACACACACATTGCTTGCAAGCAGGACAAACAGCAATAGGAGCATCCTGAGGTCAGCCAGGTTAATTCAATTCAAACTGATGATTATTTGTAAATCATGTAAAAATAAGGAACCAACTGAGAAAGAAAAGTAATTATTAATTTCTCATGGAGAAGGATTCATTTATTTTAGGATGTGTAAACTAATAAATGGTGTTAGATACTCAATGCTAACATTGCTTGTTTTGGGTAATTCAACAGCAGAGTTTCTTTGTAGTTAAAATTCAGTAAAATAAGAAAATACCATAGAAGGCGTTATGATTCCTGGAAGGATGCATATCACATTTAGAAAGAAGAAATGCATTAAAACGGGCAGGTTGTTTAACTTTCACTGTGTCGAGCTGTGGTTATTTCCTGTCCTAATCCACTGGCAGCATCAGGAGCATATCCAGTATGAGCGAGTGTTAGCTCTCCTCCCACTGGGACTGAAGACCCTGAGGAAAATGAACAGAAGCTGATGGTATGACAGAAGGGTGCAGGGGGGAGACATGGAGCCTCGCCGCTCCCCAGCTATTTTACAACTTTTACAAAATAGCCTTTTAATTTTCTGCAGCGTCTGGACTGTCTGCATTGTGCCGGCATCAATCACCATCATCACCAGGGCCTCAGGCACCCCAGTCCCCTGGGCCCTCTCACCGAGTGGCCCCTCGGGCTGATCGCTCAGCTTACTTCTCTCGCTAGCCCACACTTGTGCACGCAAACAACGTGACACTCTGTTCACCCCACCGCCACCAACAAAACTGTCGATTAAACATCAGGAATACAGAACATAACCATTACACCATTAAGGCTCTGATTTTATCCACTCAGAAATGATTCAAACTGGTTTGGAGGAACAGCTGACCATTAGCTGAACTCGTTACTTAAAATCTACGTTTCACTTATGGGAAATATTCACATGAACTACTTTTTTTAGGAGGTTTGATGGTTGCACCCTGATTTGAATCGTTGATAATTCAAAGTGAAGACTTCAGGGAGGATTTCTGGTTTATTATCAGTGTTGCTTTTCTGAGAGCCTGGCGAGTGTCGTCCTCACAGACATCATGCTGTTCCACTTCTCAGCTGAAAATGCTTTCAGGTCAGTTGGCTCAGAGTGGAAAAGGTACAGATGGTCTGCTGCTTTTGCCAGATAAAATTCATAAACTTTGTTTAAAACTGGCCTCGGACACGGCAGCGCGTCCACACGTAGCCTTGAACTGTTTTTATCTCACTAACAAAGGATTGATGTGGTCAAAAATAAACACCCTGGGGTTCAGTGTGTATTGAATGAACATATAAAGCCTCCTTAACTCGTTTTATTGCTGATTTATTTTTAAATTATATAATTTATGAATAACTTGAAAATCTTTTATTTTAACATTTCTTACCCTAATTCTAACTATTCTGCATTTAAAAGGTATTTAAAAGACATTGAATGTCTTTTGTTTATTTGAATGTTAATGAGCATTTTAATAAATAAAAAGGTTATAACAGGTAACAGTTTGATATTTAACATGAAATCATTTCATATAATTTTGTGGTATCTGAAGTATTTTAATATAAAACTGTATTAGGTTTATTCACAAAGGCAATGATAGTCAGTTTTATTTTTTCTGTGTGCCCAAAATTATCATTTTATGACAGAAAATGGGCATAACATGCTATCAATGTTGAGCTTGTATGATGGATCCACCTTCACGAGTATTCTGTCCAATATAGGAGCCTTTTATTCAGAAATTAAAAATCAACAAAAGAACTCTGGCTTATCTAAATTTTCAGGACAAAGAAGAAATAAAAAACATTATAATGCAATAAAAACCTAGAAATCCTGCTTTCCCTTCTCAGAATGAAACCCCAGTCTTTGAGCCAGATGGTAAACATGTTGTTTATTTTCCGACATTATATTCCACTGAACAATGGAGGCCCCAAAGCTCCTCTGAGTGTTAGCAGAAGAGCTGAAGTCATCCTATTTCACAGCAAGGAGCACAATAAGCTGCCAGACATCCTCCTCACGCTGCCATATTGTGCGCTGCCAGGTATTTCCTGCACTCTATAACTTTCCTGTTCCACTCCCGCCTAATCAGTTCTAATTGACTTTAATTAGCATGTAGTAATTAATTTTGTTTTCTACAAATTATTTGTGTGACTGATCCCAGTGGGTGGCCTTGTTCATCTCGTTAGGGCCAATTAGCTGCAATTAACAAACACTAATGACACGTTTTTTTCTCATTCCAAAACAAACAACACACATGCTGCCAGATTCCTGCACAAAGACCTATTGTGTGTGTTTGTGTGTGTGTGTGTGTGTGTGTGGGGGGGGGGGGGGGGTGTCAGGCTCTAACTCTCACTTCAGAAACATTAAAATCACTAAAAGGATCATTGATTTCCTTCTTTGCTTTTACGACATCCCCAGCTGGTCTGAGATCAGGATGTTTCTTGACCCAAGATCCCACACCTGCGCTATGGCAAACAAAATCAGCACAAAATATGAAATTTCCAAGCAATCCGCTGCAATCTAAAGCCTGAAATTGGATCTGAGGTCCAAGTTATTGTTACAGCCACATCAGCTTTTATGAAGACAACTACAAATTCTACTTAATTAGAGCTTTTATTAATCAAGATGTGCCCCCCTTCCAAAAGATTATCTTAAGAAAATGTATTCAGATGACTTTTTTTTTTAATGGAGCCAATTTTCTCATGACAACACATTTGTAAAGTCCCTTTTGGGATCTGTTCCTCCAGCGGGAGCCAATGACAGAATGAATGCATACCAGGAAATGTGGAGCACCTGAGGTGCTGTCCAGGGTGCTGAAAGCTTACATTTAATATCATATCGCCATAAAGTTGTTGCATTTGTGATCATAAAATCTTATAGTTTCTGCATTACATTTTAAATTCTGCTCATGCTTTCGCTGCATTTGTCAAAGATAATTCAACAGATGGTAAAATAGGAAATTGGTTTAAATGGATAAAAATATGTAATATTTAATAATGTAATTGTTAAAGTTAAATTATTTATATATTTTCCAATCAAAACTTGTTTTTGCTGTGATCACTACTATTTAAAAGTATTTGAAAGTTGATATTCAAAAAGCAAGATCTTAAATCAAAAATAGAAACGAGAAAGTTAAAAATAGAAAATGAAATTGTAAACTGGTGAAGAACAGCAGTTCTGGACTAAATTTAACACTCTGATGAGAATAAATCGTCTTGAGAAATTGAATTAACAGGACTCTTAAGGATTTGCACAAAAGTAAAAAGGGAGACATGAACGTTTTCCCAATTATTTTTTATATTGAAAAAAAAGATTTATTTTTATTTTCCCCTGCCTTTAAATCAAGAACGTTTGGAGTTTAATCTCCGATTTCCTACAGTGGCGCTGCTGTCTATCTGGACCTTCCAGCTATCAGGGACCAGCAGAACCAAGATCCTGCGAGGGGGAGACGCGCTATCTGCGTCCGCAGCGCGCCGATCCCACCCGATAAGATCTGGGAGAGAAAGAGCGCATCAGCAGAGATTAGAACCATTAGGGATCCTTGTCCTTTCAAATGGGATGAAGAATAACGCTGCTGGGCCACAGCATTAATCTGTGTGAGGAGCGCTCAGCAGTTCATCTGTCCCTCTCTCACATGATCATTTGTCACCTGCCACCGATCCAGTAAATAAACTCCCAGCTCCTATTGGGTATTCATCACATCGTTATTGGCTTTCTGGAGAATCGTTCCGTCATAACTAAAGTAAAAAACAGGAAATTGTCCAAAAAAAAAACAGACAAGTAGAAGAACTTCGGATTTTAATCCTCCTTAGAAAAAAGTCAAATTTCATATTTAATGTTTTATTTTAAAATTTCACACTTTTTTGTGAAAAAATAACTAAACAAATTACCTTAAAATAAAACAAACACTTTAAATGTTTTCTTTAATTTTTAGTACCAGACTGCTGATAGGGGGATCGCGCTGATGACGTCACGTGTTCCTCCTTGGCTAATAGGCTGAGCTGAACAAGGTGAGCTCATTACAGCTTCTCTCTCAGACGGAGCTCATCAGAGAACACGCGGAGCGCCAATCAGAGCTGAGCCTCTCCAAACGACTCTGGGATTTTATCATCATTTAAACCATAATAAACTATTTGAATTATTTATTTATTTATTATTATTATTTTTGCTCTCTGGTGATATGGCGCACCTCGGATCATCCTGACCGGCCCGTTCTGATTTATTATTTTTCCTACAATGCAGAAGAGATGCTGTGTGATGCGACCTGGCTAGGAGTTGCAGACCGGATGTGGATTGTTGCATCGAGGAGATAAACACAAAGCTCGTTCTGGAGGATGCTGGCGTAGCGCAGAACACCCGGAACGAGCTGGATCTGGTGGATTTACTGGATCATATCAACACCCTGCAGCGAGGATTCGGGACGGTGGAGACGGACTCGAGCAGCTTAGATTGTCTGGACCGGAACAAGATGCTCCACTGTGCGGGCTGTGAGAAGCCAATCATTGACAGGTTCTTGTTGAAAGTTCTGGACAGACCGTGGCACATCAAGTGCGTCCAGTGCTGCGAGTGCAAGTGTAGTCTGACAGAGAAGTGCTTCTCGCGAGATGGGAGGCTGTACTGTAAGAATGACTTTTTTAGGTGAGCATCAGCATTTCTGATCATTAGAGGCGGAAATTACGTTCTTGTTATTGTGAAATGTGACATTTTCATATTTTATTAGATATATCTGGATTTGACAAGCAGAAGTAAATAATTTTGGGTTTATAGTCAAATGTGGGGAAATCATTAATATTACTATCAGAACGGTGTTCTTTATTATAATTTAGTGCATGTTTTCATCCTTAATAACAAATATGTCATAAAACTGTTGAAATGCGTGATGAATTTAGTACGTTTGGCTTCATTAAGACCATTTTAAAGGCTGTATAAAAGTTTCTCAGACTTCCGGAAACCCATGTGCTTTGCCACCTGACGTCCTGACAACTTTATCCCAATCAACCAGGAGATTTGGGACCAAGTGTGGAGGCTGCTCGCAGGGGATTCTCCCCAGCGACTTGGTCCGCAGAGCCAAGAGCAAAGTGTTCCACCTGAACTGTTTCACCTGCATGATGTGCAACAAACAGCTGTCCACCGGAGAGGAGCTCTACATCCTGGACGAGTTCAAGTTCGTCTGCAAGGAGGATTATCAGAACAATAACGGCAAGGACACGATCCTCCTGGCAGGTGATTCAAGGGCAATAAAAGAACTAAAAGTGCTTTCATGTTCATGCTGAGTCGCGTCAGGCCGGGTTTGATATGTGTTTGTCTTCATGATAAATAGTGACGACGTGCAGCGATCCGAGTCTGTCCCCGGACTCGCAGGACCCGCAGGACGACGGGAAGGACTCGGAGAGCGGACACCTGTCCGACAAGGACGCGTGCGGGAACGAGAACGACGAGCAGAGCGCCGTGGGGAAGCGCCGCGGGCCCCGGACCACCATCAAAGCCAAGCAACTGGAGACGCTGAAGGCGGCTTTCGCGGCTACGCCGAAGCCCACCAGACACATCCGGGAGCAGCTGTCCCGCGAGACCGGCCTCAACATGAGAGTGATCCAGGTAGGCTTAAAAAAATAATTACACAAACAAACAAACAAATACGTAAGTAAGTAAGTAAATAAATAGGCTATAAAATTATATATATATATATATATATATAATAAAGGGAATGAGATGAGAAAAAAGCCAACATGAGTTTTGTATTTAAACATAATAACAACGAAGAAAGCAGATGCGAGTCATCCAGAAAAAATTATGAGACAAACAACATCCGGAAAAACATAAAAAGAAAAAGAAAAGCTCGAATCATTCAGGTGGATAATAAAAAACGGGTTGGGAAAAACATTATTAGAAATAATAATAACAACAACAATAATAAATAATGCTATAAATTATCTATTATCAGCTGTTTTACCAAAAACTCAGTAATATTGTTAAATTGTTAAATAAAAAGGAAAACACTCATCCTTGAGTTCTACTGCAAATAAATAAATAATTTACACATTATAACATGTCATATGGCACCAAAATGGCTGCAGATTTTATTTCCCTTTCGGGTCTTCCGCATTCCTGCAACATGATCTCTGTTTTCTAAACAAATGCATGTCTCTGTCGGTCCTAAAGGTCTGGTTCCAGAACCGGAGGTCCAAGGAGAGGCGCATGAAACAGCTGAGCGCCCTGAGCGCGCGCAGACACGTGTTCTTCCGGAGCCCGAGGAGGATGAGACCTCTGGGAGAGAGACTGGAACCAGGGGAGCTGGGACACTTCTCCTATTATGGAGGTAACCATTTATGTTGGTTGTTCTTGTGAAGAAAATGGGTCAAGTATGATTTTGATGTTGATTGTTTGGTCATCAAGTCATAAGGAGAAATAAAACACAATTTTTCCTCACTCCGTGTTTTAATCCCGTGTCTCCAAACGCAGATTATCCTGGTGAATATTACGGTCCGGCAGGAAATTACGAGTACTTCCAAGGCCCGCCACCATCGCAGGCTCAGACCCCAGCAGATCTGGGCTTCATGCCCTCCACGGTCCCAGCTGGTACCCCGTTAGGCTCGGTAGACCACCACCACCAGCACCATCATCACCCCGCGGGGCACCACTGTGCGCCCGAAGACGCGCAGTGCTTTCCGGACACGGTGTCTCACCATCCCGCAGACTCACCCAGCCCGGAACCCAACGGACCGGGTTCGATCCACAGCATCAACAGTGAAATGTGCGGCCCCGGTACGCCCTTCACCGGAGTGTCTCTCAGCGACACCGGATACACCAACCAGCTGTCTCAGCCGTCCTCCGAGCTGAGCGAGGGCGCTGCCTGGTAACGCAAAGCACCAGAGACGTATTTATTTATTTATTTATTTATTTATTTATTTATTTATTTATTTATTTATTTATTTATTTATTTATTTATTTATTTGTTTGTTTGTTTGTTTGATAAATACGTTTGAATATGTTCTCATAGGGCCCCATTGTCGAAGCAATAAACACATTTATTTATAGGCTGAATGAAGTGTTTTGAATTCGTTTATTTATTTGGTTATTTACATAAATATGTCTGCCAAACTCCACAGGTGAGCTGAATGTCACTTTTGTTCCTGTTTGTTTGAGACGGATATGATGCAGCAGCATTTAAAACAGAAATAAAGCCAAATTTTAAAGAAACGGAAGCAGGATTTTTCTCCATCATTAAATCAGAACGAGGCAGCAGCTCTTCAGCTCACCTGGACCAACCCCTGTCCCCACCGGAAGTTCAAAAATATCTTTATTTAAAACTAAAACAAACTTGCTTACAAAACATTGTACAACCTCATAAAATGTATCTTTAAAGGCAAACATTTTTGGACTCAAGACGTTTTTAACGCACTTTCTTTTTGATTGATAAGTTTTAATTTATTTATTGAAGTTTGACTTTATTTATAATTATTTTGCTGCACTGTCAATGTAACCACTTTTCACACCCTCCTTTGAATGTGCATGGTTTTATAATGTTTTGTACTTGCTGACAAATGGAGCTCTGTCCATTTTCCTGTGCAAGATGTTAACATGTGATAACGATTTTTAACTGTGATGATACATAGATGATACACTATGTCTCTCAGGACTGTTGGAAGAATATTTCCTCCCTTTATTAACACATTTTCAGTCACATTATAGCTGAAGTCACATAATTTTATATTAGAAACACATTTGGCCACATGAGTCAAAGCATTACTGTTGAAAAACTGATCCAGTACTTTGTTTGGCTGTTCTGTTCATGCGGCCACTAACTGTGATGGTTTGTGTTAAAGTTTGATATAAATAAATGTTGCTAAATTAAAATACAACTCAAATCCTGCACTTTTAGCTATGAGTTTGAGGCTCCTGCAGCAATGAATCTCAAAGAAGTCAAACAGAATTTAATTTAAAAGCTTTCAACAACCGTTTTTCTTTTCTTCATAATTATTATAATATTATATTAATACAATTAAGTATATAATAAAATTAATTAATTATAAAAACTATTAGATTAATGTGGTAAAAAATATGACATAAAACATAAAGATTATGTTACAATTAAATAGAAAATAAAATAAAAACTTCTTAACTCATCTATGATCATGTAAAAACCAAAGCGTCAAACTAAAATCACCAAACGGTCCACTATAACAATCATTTTAATTTAAGTTAGTCATTCTGATTGAAGTCTTAGGAACTGATTATTTTAGAATGATCACATTCATTGACAAAATTAGAGCATTTGCCATAATTTTCCTTCTTGATCTTTGCTATTTTAGGGACAATGAATTAAAATAGGTTATTTTAAATAATGCAGAAAACTGTTTAAATGCTTTACTGTGCATGTGCAATAAGAGATTCTCAACAGCTGGTTTTGTTCTTCAGAAGCTTTCATTGTGCAAAACTTTTAAAATGTGACACAAATTAAAGAAACAACGTGCGGAGAGGAGGCCAAGAGAACACAACGTTATCTGATTATGAAGTCACCGCCAGCGAGGCTGAAAGGGGCAGAGAGAGTGTTTTGGAGGATCGAAGAGAAAATTGAGCAAATATTTGCATCAGGAAAGCACGCTCAGTAATTTTCGGTTTGTATAAATTTTTTTCTGGTCTGATTATGGAAGCAAACAGACACGGCAGCTTCTGCTGTCATGGTCAAAATCACTTTCAGCCTGATCAAAACTTCTTTAACCCTTAAAAAAAATCAAAACTATCACGAAGAAAGTTGCTTTTTAATGCAATTGAGTTTCTACAAAAAGGTTACGAGTCATTTCAAGTTAGCCTTGTGAAAAACCTCTGTTTGGAGAGAAAGAGATTAATTGTGAACAGGGTGGCTAGCTAACGCATCAAAGCCAGTGATAATATAGATTATTATTACTTAAAACAAATACTATCTCAAAAATGTAATTGAGGTCCATGAAATAGGAATTTTCTAAACCTTTGGCTGTCCCTACTGCAACAAACTCTAAATGGCACCCCCAAAAGGGTTTCCAAAATGTGTCCATTTTCCTCATGAAAGTCAGACAAACTTATTGTCGTGTTGCTGGGAGTTTTTAAAAGATAAAAAATTTACAAATTATTTTCTTTCAAACCAGGCCCAAGACAATCTAACCCTCCATAGAGTTCATGTGCAAGAAACTTAGAACTCTGGGAGGGGTCAGCAACCCTAACAGAAGTTAAGGTGAACTTCAAATAATTCTAGACACAAGGAAGACCCTTTGCGACGATATTACAAGAAAATGTATAGAATTCTCATAATTCGCCTGTAATTACATCATGCCATTTAGAGTTTGTTGCAGTCGGGACAGCTAAAGGTTTAGAAAATTCCTATTTCGTGAACCTTGATGACACCAGGACATGTAAAACCTTTTGTTTTCATTGTAAATTCAGTATATCCAACTGAAATGCAACAATTTTTCTCAAGAGTTTTGAGTCTCATACTTGTGAGTTGCAAACCATACGCTTCAGATTAAACAAGAAACAGTTCAAGACACAATATTTATAGTTTTATTAGGGATGGGAAATTAACGATTAATTATGATTAATTAAGTAGAAAAAGAATAATGCACAAAAAATATTAACACTTGAGCCTGAGCGTCCCCCAATTGGTGGAAAGTTTAGTACCAAACTATCAAAGCCTCATATATCAATAAATACCATCAAGCTACAAGAAACAGCAGAGCCTGGGCTACAAACAACTATAACTACAATTAGGTAAATAATGACAAATCGCTCTTCATGAAAAAACTAAATGAAAGAAAAAAATTACTTTTTACTGTTATTTTTGGAATAAAGCAGGCAGGCAGTAACTTTATCCATATGAACTTTATTACAGCAGGAGGGACAAGCATACCCACAGCATTGATCTCATAACCCTCAGCAGAACTTCCCCTGAACTCTGTACTACACCTTTATATATATTAGCTGTGCTCTAGTGCCACCTAGTGTTCACTTCAGTACACAATAGTTCTATTTACATTTATAATGAGACCAAAGTAATCAAATAGACCTTGTGGTTACATAAATATACTCATTAAAGTATTTGTATGTCAACTGTGCCCCACTAACATTATTTTGAATAAACAAACATAGCTGGGGGGCAAATTTGAAAGATTAAAATGTGATTAATCAAGATTAATTAATTACAAAGCCTCTGATGAATTAGATACATTTTAGATTAAAAAAATTTATTCAGTCCCACCCGTAATTTTTAGACATCTGTTCTGCGACTAGCTGTTAGCCTTTAAGTCAGAACAAATCTTTGTTTCTTCAAACCGAGGCCATTGACAGACCTCAGCATCACAGAAATCCCCCAAATTATAATTTGGTATTAACATTTTATAAAAGTCCTACCATCATATAATAAAAAGTCATCTGTAAATGATGCACAGGACTATAAATGGTAAATGACTTTTATTTTTATAGTGTCTTATAGGGTTTGACAACCCAATCAGTCATTCATTCCTTCACTCACACATTCACACGCTGGTGGGGATGAGCTACGACATAGCCACAGCTGACCTGGGGCGAGGTCTGCTGAACACTGGCTTCGCCGGTCCCTCTGACCACCACCAGCAGCCAAGGCGGGTTAAGTGTCTTGCCCAAGGACGCAACAGCAGAAATTCTCTAGTTGGAGCCGGGATCGAACCTGCAACCATTCAATTACTGGATAATCCCGCTCTACCTCCTGAGCTACTGCTGCCCCTTTATAGTGTACCATGTGTTCAGTGTGACATCATGTTTAAGCACCATAAACCAGGATGTGACTGTAAGGATTAACAAGAACAATCATTTAAAGAGTAAAGAGAAAATGACATCAGGTGTTGTTTGAAGATAAAGTGATTAAATAACATTTTATTGTAGAGCTGAAACAATGCCACCAATAAACAACCGCTATCCAATACAACATTTATCTAAATTCTAATCTCCAATTTAAACGGATAATGGAAGCCGGCATGTTTAAACTGTCCTTTTCCAGGAGATAATGTTTCACTCTTAGTGTAATCTGTGTTTATCTGAACAAAACGCCCCGATGTACACGGAGAGATTTGCATGTCAAACACGAGGCACGCCAATCAATTTCCTCTATCTGCATCAGGTCACAGCAACACTGTGGGTAAACCACAGAAAGTTAAGGTTGTTGGTCCTCCGAGGAGAGATTTTAAGTCAGCTAATCGCTCAGTTTCCAAATCGTTGTATCCTAAATGATTAAATCCAGAAAATAAATAAATAAATCAAGATTTCTGTACAGAAAAAGGGAGTTGAATCTTGTCTCAACCTGATATTTTTTGCCAGTTTTGGACTATTATGGTCTGGCAGGAGAGATGTCCTTGGATGAACAACACTGTCACCGGTTTAACAGATTAGTTTCCCCCAAAGTCTCCTTTGACGTTTTATATTGTAAATACAAACTTGGACCATAATTGTTCTGGATTGGAAATAAACTGAAGTTTAAAAATCCATCCGTCCCATAGCTTGTTGGACTTTCAGCCACAACAGGATGTTTCTGGGTGATTCTTTACTGTAACTGAAGACAGATCCCTTTTATTCTTTCATCTAAATCTCAGTTGAGCTCATTTTTGGCCTTTTCGTTGTGGCTGCTTCCCTTTGACTCCCTTTGCAAAGATCCAACCCAGTTCAGCTCTATCTACACTTTTCGCCCGCGGCTTTCCCGTCCACTTTCTGCATGAAAATCATTCACACATACAATTTTATAATCAATGCCCACAGTAATAGGATTCCTCTGGCCACGGGCAATTAATACAGTTTTCCCTTCTTTTTTTCCCTCCACTCCTTGTGCAGATCTCAAAGCTATGAGACATTGGCTTCCCCTCATTTGCATATTTATTGCATTGGACTCAAATCTGGCGAGTGATTGATGTGGAGCTTGCCTCCTGAATTTTTAGCGGCCCATTATTATGAGAGACATGGATGGGACGTGTGTGTGTGTGTGTGTGTGTGTGTGTGTGTGTGTGTGTGTGTGTGTGTGTGTGTGTGTGTGTGTGTGTGTGTGTGTGTGTGTGTGTGTGTGTGTGTGTGTGTGTGTGTGTGTGTGTGTGTGCTGCGGCGCATCAGTGTACTCCTGATTAAAGTTGAAGAGGACAGAATTAAGCGTTCCCCACCTACATTCTTTTCCTTCAGCATTTAATCTGCCAGGCCGAGAGCAGATTTCTACTCTAGATGCTGACTCGTCATTCATTCACAAAAAAATGTTAATTTTAGTTAAGCAGCAACAAGGAAATAATTTCAAACTAATTTCTAGTTTTAATATTAATTCAGTTATTATTAGACTGGTTTCTGAACCATTTTCACTAAAATCCACAGTTTTTTAAGTCTTTCCTACATGGTGAGTTAGTGCTTTTTCATGGGACTGGTGCATTTTCACAAACACCTCAGCATCGGCTGTGAACACAACACAAGACAAGCTGTATCTTCCAAGAAACTGAAATAAACAATTAATGAATGGTTTTCAATAATTAGCATTTTTAAAACACTAAACTTCCACAGATCATCTGTAAACAGAAGAAGGTATTACGCCTTTTTTAAAATGATTTTCAACATCTCATTTATTCTTATGTTGGTAATGGGCTCACAGGGACAAAAGCATCTCAGTGACTTTATGAGTCTCACTTTCAAAGCTGGGGTGCGTAGTTTAAAAAAAAATAAAATAACTTTAAAATGCTTTAATTTGACCATCTGACCCTGTTCATTGATATAAAGTAAGAAATCTTTCATTATTTATATTACTCCTAAGCCCTTCCTCTGGCCTTTACAGCAGAACGAATGATCTACGTGAGCGTTGACCAATACAGTTGCAAATCCAAAAAAAGGAGCAAGAACGACGCGGTGAC